GCTGAATCCTGAGCTGCTCTTACCTCTGATCTGGGGTGAGCACCTCTGGTAACAGAGTTTGAACAATACTTTGGGATCTGGGCACAAAGCAAGCAGGGGAAACACACTCTCTGTTCTGAGGATTAATAATAACTCCCTAGGGAAACACTAAAACCCTGTCACTCAAGCACAGCTACAGTAATTAGGATCTCCTGAATTTTAGCTTACAAAGGGTTGAAAGCTGCCTGTAAAACTGAATTGCACCCTTCCCTCCTTATTTATAAAGGTCTGGCAGGGCTTTGGAGGAGACAGTGGGTAATTGTCTAACAACTGCTCTGGCTGGCCAAGAGTCAGGTTTTGGATTTCAGTTCAGCTTGAAAATAATCTTCTGAGGCCATCAGTTCTTGACAGCTCTGTTAACTGGGTGAATCTGCTGCTCCCAAAAGCCAGACCTGAGCTGCCCTAACATGAGCACAGGTAAATCAAGAGCAATTGCAGCTCAGAGGCTGCTCCTCTACTCTGTCCCACTGCAACTTTCTGCTTCTCCCAGCCTGAGAACCACGAAACCAGCTTTGCCATTTCAGCTCTGACCTACATCTACTCCTACTTCCAGGCTTGGCCTCACACAGAACACAGAAAATCCTCTTCAGTGCTAACCCAAAGCCACCCTGTGCTGCCTGGCAGAAGCTCTGGCTCTTGCAGGCTGCCCCTGCAGTGCTTCTCACATCTGCAGACACTGCTAGCCTGAGAATTTCCATTTTCACAAGGCACTCCTGCCATGTAAAGGACACCCAAGCCTTTCCAAGTAGCATTTCTGTGCACAAAAGGACATTCCTGAGACATGTTGTTTATTTGTTCTAGCAGGAGCTTGGCCCTGGTCCTCCCCTCACTTACACCAGAGCAGCCCAGCTAAGGACCTGCATTCATTTACATTCCCACTAGAGAGGGGAGAGCACAACTCCAAAGGTCCAGGCACTGGAGTAACCTCACTTGTTCCCTGACCCTGAACAACTGCAAACTTGGCCTTCACCTTGTTGCACAGAAGCTCCAGGCAAGTTCCACTGTCTCTCTTCTGCATGACTGGAGTCTGGGGCTGGCAGCAGCCACAGAAAGCTCAGCCTGATTCACAGCCAGGTGCAAGAGTCTGTGTCAGCAGCACAATTTCAACAGTGAAAAGCAGAAATACTCTGACAACTTGACTGCTCCATCAGCTCTGGGCACTGGACAGGCAAGTGACATCTTCCCAGTAGGGCACTGGACTGTCTGTGAGGCCCCCTCACTGTGCCCCTCTGCCTGAATCCTCCTGAAATGGAGGAACTAAATTAGAAAAAAAACCCAACCTCCCACTGTACCACACAGAAAAGCCAGCTCTGCTATGCACTCTGATGTGCTTTGAAGATGGTCTGCATTTTTTTCCAGCTGCCTCAGTTTGTCTAATAAAGGGCAACATCTCCCACTGCCTCGCCCTGTCACCCACCTGCCTGAGCTGTTTGCAGCTGGGGCAGCAGAGAAGGCCCAAGCGTGGATGTTGATGTGTCCCACGAGAGCTTCACAGCTGAACATCTGCTGCAAAACAGGCTGGCACTTACAGCTCAATCACTTGGGAGTTCAGCTCCGTGATTGTGTCCTCAGTGCTGACAGAAACCGAGGCAGCTGAAACTCCCAAGGTGGGTGTCGAGGAGCAGAGTCAGGCAGGGAGAGCGAGAACGTGACGGAGCAGGACTCGAAGTCAAGTGGACAAAAGCCCTTTCTCCTGCCGTCTCCTCCCCACTTCCTAGGAAAAGCAGCACCCCCGGGTCCCCCCTGCCCTCCCTGCAGCCCCCCACTCCCACCCCAGGGGTTTGGTACCTTCTCTGCAGCGCTGGGCAGGGAGGGGGGGGTGAGGCTGCTGGGCGACTCCGGCCGCTTTTTGTGCTTCTGTTTAGGTCTTTCCTTGTCCTTCCGACTCTGCAAAAGAAATCAGAGGGAGCTGGAAGGCTAGCTTTTCCCCTGCTGAGAGCAGCAGTTGTAAGGGAAAAGAAAGGAGGGTGTGTAGGGGTGGATTTACAACCATACATTCATATTCCTCTTTCCTTCTCCACCCATCCAGAGGAGCCCAGTATCCCTTCCCCCACATCCCAGCTTCTGGCTGGGAGAGTCCCCCTATCTCTACCCCAGCTGCAGCCAACATCTGGAGTGCAGAATATCAACAGAAGCCCCCAAATCAGTTTATGGTAAGATGATAGGGGAGGACTTAACAAGCTCTGGCTGATTTCAAGAAACCTGAGCTTTCCTCTTGCTGTTTCCCCAAAAGGGTCTCTGTGCTCCCTTGTTCTCACTCTTTACCCTCTTCAAGGGTTTCTCAGATCCACCCTGTGCAGCCAATGGGAGGATCTTGATTTCAGCACGTGCTGCACGTGCACAAGTCAGCAGAGATCACAAAACCTCACCCAGAGATCCCCCCACATCTCCCCTCCCAACAGAGACAGCTGGTCTGGGTCCATCTCTCCTAACAGGAGACCAGACTCTGCAGTTTGATTTCTTCATCCTGTTGTGTTTGGGTTTTTTCTCTCACTACAAACCCAAGAAAAACGGGACTCTTCAAATTGCAAAGCAAGGGAAAACTGTGGCCCGAGCAGCACCAAGTCCTGCCCACCCTGATTTTATATTCTCTTGAGGGATGGGAGGTAACTGAGGAGGTTATTCTCACGTAGTGCTACCTGCATGGTCATGCTAGAACTGAGATGTTTCCAGTGAAAGGACTCAAACCACAGGCCTGTGGAACCTCCAGTCAGTGGGCTTGAGGATGCCCAGGCCAGCTGGGATACAGGATGGATGGACAGAAGAGGATGGTCCATCACACTCTGCTGCTCCCTCCCTGCTTAGCTGAGCTGCAGGCTCCCATGGGGACACACTCAGGGGCTCCAGCAGCTTTTCTGTGCTCCTGATGGCAGCTAAAGATGTGGCCTCTTTACTGAAGCCACAGAAACTTCCGTGCAGGGTTCCAGACTTCCCAGTGTGGTCACTGGTCTGTGGCCCAAGAGGGCTGCAGTCAGATGAACACCTGCACGAGATGCAGGGCTCAGAAAGATCCACCTCCCTGTCTCCAGGACCTTTTTGTGGGAAAGAATGTCTGTCCTGGTCCAACTCCCCTGCATGGACATTTTATTCCAGAAGCTGGAGTGCTCAGTCTGGACCAGAGGTGTGCTCAGAACAGAAGAGCCACATCAAAATTCATTGACTCTCCAGAAAGATGCTGATTGTGTCCTCGTGCAGGGACAGCCCCAGGCTAGAGCTGCCAGCACAGGCTGGGATGCAACTGCAGCAAATCCATGAGCTGCACGGTGTGGTTTTGGGGGGCAGAGAAGAGAGTGGGATAATCAGCTCAACCCACTACATGGGACACAAAGAAGGGCAGGAGGAGGGAGAGAGCAGGAGGAACAGGGAGGCATGGAGTGAAGAAGAGGTGAAGCAAAAGTGCTCCAGAAATCAGCACCTTCCCGTGTGGCTTCGGCTGAATTTTCCTTGCACTTGAAAAGGAGGCCATGGAGGCTTTTCCTGGGATGAGCTGATGGAAAAGGGAGGCAAATCCAGCCTAGAGCTCCACAGCACTTGCCGAGTGCCCAGCCAAGGCTGCCAATATCCCTCATTTTCTCACAGGACTCCTGGCATTTGGCATCTCTGCTGAAACCTGTTCCTAGAGCTCCAGGATTTTACAAGATTCTGTGTTTTATTTATAATTTTTCTTCAAGACACCCTTCCAGCTCTGGCAGTGAACAAGGGAAGCAGGAGAATGTGTTTTTTACAGGCCAAGTGCAAAAAGATAAATAACAAATTAAATCTTTCCTAAATCTCATCATGTTTTAAATACTTGGGGGCTTCTCATGCTCTAAACTCTAAGTCTCATGGGTCTGCTAGGACAGAAAGATGGGGAAACTGTGGCCCAGTTAGTTAAGGAGCTTGTCACAAACCACGTGCACATCCACGTTCATTACTGCAGTAGCAGGAACAATTTGCTCTCACTCAGTAGCTCACAGCAGAGAGTTTCAACGAGCTGCAGAAAGTGGTTTTTAATATCTACATCTCATTTTACAAATGGGGAAACCAGGGCACATGGGATGAGAGAACTTGCTAAGACTTCACAGAAAGCCACCCAAAAGTTCAGAGGGAAAAAGTCAGGGATCCCCACCCCACCTGGACAACCTACTTGCAGATGCTGCCAGTGCCCCACAGGGAAGCCAGGATTGGGAAACAGGAGCCAGACACCTCGTTACACCTTGTGCCAAATAACTGCACAAACTTTGCTCCTTCAACTTTCTGACTAACACAAAGCTTATTCTCCCATGTTCAGACCCTGAATCCCAGATGCATTTCCATCACGGGGCTGCAACAGGAGAGAATAAGACACAACACTGCAGATGCCAGTGGGACAGCACTGCAATGCTTCAGCTTCAGGTGCCATGGTCAAGATAAGGGAAGGCAGAGCCAAGACATTCTGCCTAATGACCATGAACTACACACATAGACACACGTGTGGGGAAAAGCAGACATGTCCTGACTGTCACCACAATGAACCATCCAGCATTTCATTGTGATGGCAACCACCAAACTCACATCCTCCAGCTTCAAAATCCCATCTCCTGTCTGCAAACCCTCTGCTGTGTCTGCCCCAGCTAACTGAGCACTCCCTGGTTACACATAGCAGTGCCTACATATGAATATATTCAGCAAGAACCCAGGCTGCACAATAGGGACCAGATTTCTGGAATGCTTCAGCTCCCATTTAAGATGCTTGAATAACTGGTCAGGTTTTCCAGAAAATCTGGGTGTTGAGCTCTTTTGAAGATCTGGCCCCAACGACATGTGCTGAGCAACTGCTCCCCAGCCATGGAGACAATCTGTCCCCCAGAGACAATATCTGTCCCCCAGAGACCAGCCCTCGTGCTCTGCTCAAAGGGCTGCACTGAAACCAGCCCCGGGGCAGCCTGCCCAGGAGCTGCACGGGTGTCCCAGCACACAGCCATGGGCTGCCCACAGGGACACCCTGTTCCTCTGCCCTGCCCGGCCAGCACTTCTCCCTCTCCCACATCACCTCCTGCCCAGGTCCTGTGTCACTCGGGCAGAGCAGAAACCCACAGGACCAGGCACCAGGAGCTGCCACCAGCAGCCTTCGAGCTTTGCAGAGCTGGGGAACGTCCAGCAGCACCCACATCCCACCCTCCGGTTCCTCTCTCAATACTCGAGGCTACTCAGAAAGGGCAACAGGATCTGACACCTCCTTCCTTCAGTATCCCCGCAGAAACGCAGGGCCCGGTGCTGGAAGGGCAGGACCACCGGCTCCGTTACCCCCGGGGCACTTTGCAGCCGGGCTGTGCTGCTGCCCCCGGGGGGGCGGTCACTGCAGCCCGCAGAGCCCTGGGGGGGCTCAGGCACCCCAGGCTGTCTGACCTGCCTCTCACCCCCCCC